GTGCGATGGCTCCTGGAGTGAACTCGGCCACGAAGTCGGCCAAGACTTGGCCTTTGATCGCTATTCTTGGTATGTATTCTAGGTCATACTGCCCCAAGGCCACTGCCCATCTGGCTATTCTGCCTGTCAGATCTCCTTGCTGCAACAGGGACTTCAAAGGGTGTTCTGTTAGCACCACTATTTTGTGGGCTTGAAAGTAATGGTTCAGCTTTTTTGAAGCCATTACTAATGCCAGTGCCAACTTCTCTAGGGGTAAATACCTGGTTTATGCATCGGCCAGGGTTTTGCTTACATAGTAAACAGCCCTTTGCTCTCCTTTTTCTTCTCGGATTACCACTACGCTCACCGCGTGCTCTGAAACTGCTAAGTATAGGAACAGCTCCTCTCTAGGTTTTGGATTTGAGAGAACTGGAGCCGTGGTCAAATACTTCTTTAAGTCGGCCAGGGCGGCTTCGCACTCATCTGTCCATAAGAAGTCCGTGGCTTTCTTCACTAAGTTGAAGAAAGGTTTGCACTTGTCTGAGCTTCTGCTTATGAACCTATTCAGAGCTACAGCCCTTCCAGTCAACATCTGCACCTGTTTTGCTGACGTCGGGCTCTTCAACTTGAGGATGGCCTTAAACTGATCTGGGCTAGCCTCAATTCCCCTTCTGGTCACCAGGTACCCCCAAAAACTTACCAGATCTAACTCCAAATGCACACTTCGATGCATTGAGTCAGAGCCGATATGTTTTAAGGATGTCAAAGACTGCTTTCAGGTCGTCCAAATGACCTTCAGGTTCCTTGGTCTTCACGACCATGTCATTGATGTAAACTTCCACCGTTCCGCCAATCAAGTGTTTGAACATCTTGGTTACCAATCTTTGGTAAGTTGCTCCTGCATTTTTTAACCCAAATGGCATCACTATGTAGCAATACCGACCTTTTGGAGTGACAAACGCAGTCTTCTCTTCGTCTGGGGGGTACATGGCTATCTGATGGTACCCCTTGTAGGCATCCAAGAAACTCATCCTTCCATGCCCTGAAATGGCGTCTACCAGTTGGTCGATCTTGGGTAGAGGAAAACTGTCTTTGGGACAGGCCTTGTTCAGGCTGGTAAAGTCCACGCAGACCCTCCATTTACCATTCTTTTTCTTCACCACCACTGTATTTGATAGCCATGTCGGGTAGTTTACCTCTCGAATGGCCCTGGCCTCCAGAAGTCTGTCTACTTCCTTTTTCATTGCTTCGACGTGCATCAACGTCGGTCTTCTTGCTCTTGGATTACAGGTTTGGCCGACCTGTCAACGTTCAGTTTATGGCAAGTGACCTCGAGGTCAATGCTAGGCATTTCGTAAGGCATCCAGGCAAACACCTCAATATTTGCTCTCAAGAAAGCTTCCAACTCTTTTTCCTCTTCTTCGGCTAGGCCCGAGCCGAGAAGAAAGAAGCGTTCTTCGTCCCCCTCCTGGACAAGGATTTTCTTCAGTGCTTCTTCACTCTTCTCGGCTGGCTCCTTGCCTACATCCTCTAGGACCTCCACGTCCTCGTCTTCGATCTCTGTCTTCTCTGGTTCTCGTATGCTGCAGGTGGATTTCATTGCTGCCATGGAGCAATTCTTTGCCTGCAGTTGATCTCTTCTGACCTCCTCTATCCCATGCTCTATTGGGAACTGCAATAGTTGATGCAATGTTAAAGGAACAACCCCCATTGCATGCAACCATGGCCTTCCCAAGATAATATTGTAAGGGGAGGGTGTGTCGATTACGGTGAACTTCGTCTTTATCCTCTTCGTGCTAGCATGCACATCTAAGCTTACTGCTCCTAGTGGCCATGTCGGCGTTCCATTAAACCCGACCATTGGGCCATTAGATTGTTCCATATCGTCTGGGTGAAAACCAAGCTCCTTGTAGCATCTGACATACATGATGTCACAAGAGCTGCCTTGGTCAATGAGGATGCGCTTCACTTGGCACTCCCCAACCTGGAGGGATACTACCAAGGCATCGTTGTGCGGATGTTGGACCATCTCTAGGTCGGCTTCAGTAAAGGATACTACTGGTCCCTAGTACTCCTCGGCCCGAGGTCTTTTCTCCCTTACTTGGTACACATGCTGCAAGTGCCTCACCTTCTAGGTTTCCTCTCGTATTTCGTTTTCATTGACCTTCGAGTGAATTACATTAATTACCCGAGGTCCGGCTGCCTGCGGCTGTTGTGTTGGGGAAGGTGGAGCTACCCGTGCCTGAGGCAGTCTTGCCTACTCTTCCCTTGTCCTGGCCTCATCTACAAGGTCTCTCAAATGGCCTTGCCTTACCAGGTCTTCCAAATGCGCCTTCAGGGCTCTACAACCCTGGGTCATATGCCCATCTTCGTTATGGTAAGCACAACGCTTACCAAGGCTTCGTCCCATAAACTCTCATGGTACCCTTGCTGGTGCTCTGAAATAGGGTTGGGTTTGGATTTTATCCAGGACTTTGTGAATGGGAATTCGGAACACAGTTGTGACTGCCTGTGCAACCCTTAGTCCTACCTCCTGCTTATTGGATCCGTTGTTACCTCGGCCTCGCTTCGGCGAGCCGTTTCCTTTTTCTTGCTTTATCGCTGTGGTTCCTGGCGTGTCCTCCTCGGCTCTGGCATATTTCTCGATTCTGGCCATGAATTTCTCCATGCTTTTTGGCAATGTTTTTGCCAGTGATTTTCGGAGTAGGCAGTTATCTTTCAGGCCATTTTTAAATGACACGACGGCCACCTCTTGGTTGCATTCTGGTATTCTGTTGAACACTTCGTAATACCTCTTGGCGTAGGCCCTCAGGCTTTCGTCCTCGCCAATCTTCAGAGCCATTAGGGCGTCTACCCTCAAGGGCTGTAGTTTGTTTTTCACGAACCTGGCCACAAACATCTCAGCCAGGCCTTCCCAAGTTTTCACACTTCCTTTCGGCAATTTGTGAAACTAATCCGATGCAATCTCCCCGAATGATGAGGGGAACACTTTGCAGAGCAACGACTCATTTCCAGTGTACAATGCCATTGAGTTCAGGTATAATCCGACGTGAAAGTTGGGGTCCGACTTCCCATCGTATATCTGGAACCTTGGCATACTGAATCTCTTCGGGGCCTCAACTTTGTCTAACTCTACTGAGAATGGTGTTCTCGGTTTAATAGGGGAAGTTACCTCGGCATGCTCTTGCTTCCTCTTGAGGTAATCTCTCAAGTCCTCTTTGGTCCGGCCAGGAGCTCGGCTATCTCCTGACTTCAGTCTTTTCGGCGCACTGCTCTCAGCTTCGTTGTGAGCCCTTTTCGTCCTTTCTCCATGAGTTGTGTCGAAGCACAGCTCCTGCCATTGAACATGTCGATGTTCTCTAGGGTCTACTTCCTTGGTGCGATGTGTCCTTCGTGATTCCTCCCTTATCGACTCTCCTCACCCGACCTCCCTTGAAGGCCGATGAGAGTGTTTTTCGCTCCTGGTGTGCTGGGGGGCTACAGGGATTGTTTTCTGCCCTGCCTTCTAGGCATTGGCCGCTGGAATCGACGTGTCCGGCAGCGGGAATGGTGGCTGCATGACGTTATTCTACATTATGAAATTGACGACCGATTGCAGGTCGGCCAATTTGTTCGCCATCTCTTTCACCTCTTCATCCCTCCGCAAGCATCTATCCTTCCATACCTGGAGGTTGTCCTCGTTGTAATACCCGCTTCGGTCCGATTACTTTGGTACGTCGCCCTCCTGGCCGACGTCTTTCTCGCCATGATTCTGACCCTGAGTCTCCTCGTTGCAACCATCTTCCTCCATGTTAAGGTCAACGTGTTTACCGTTCCCAGCAGGGATTTCGTCCCCAACCTTTTCTTTCTGTCCGTCACTGGCCATCTATCCTCCTTTCTTTCCCACAGACGGCGCCAAATTGTGTGAGTGATTTTCTAACCACATTGCCAACTCAGTATTCAACTGGAGAGCACTGGCAGAATAGATGACACCTGAATAACCTGCAACAGAAAGAAGAGATTCCGGCGGTGGTTCGTCCACCCGGGGGCACTCCGACGATCAAGTCAGTTATCTCATAGATAATTAATAGTGCTTAACTCACTGTTCAGAATATAAATCGCGTACCTTAGACCCACGGGGGTGCCTCTCTTTTAGAGTTTACACAATCCTAGCCCCAATAGAAGCCTAGCTTCAATGGACTTTAACTCAATGCTCATCTTGGACTCTCCAATGGATAAAGATAAACTCTCTAAGAGTTTTATCCTTATCTAGGTTGAGTTCCTTCTTCATTCTAGGACTCTTGTCCCTTATCCGCTTATCCCGAATCCCGATATCTTTGGAGATAACCTCGGCCTAGCCGAGATCACCTCGGTGTCATGACCAGGATACGTGGCACCTCAGCTAACACGTCGGCGTCACCTTGGCCACGCGTTGGTACTTAGAAAATATATCCCCACAGTTATTATGCTACTCGTTATTATTTAAGAAAAAATACCCTTGGTTGTTTTTATGAATGGGCCTAACTAACTATTTGTAGGTTGAAACTGTGCATGAAAAACGTAGAAGAGCGTTGCAGTTTTCTAAGTTAAGTTTAGTAGTGCCTCCGGGTGATCAGCCTCTCAAGGCTGGTGTCAGTCCTTTGTGTGAAATTGAGCCCGATTCTGGCCTAATCCAGCCCAGGCAAGGCCTTGATGAGAATTACTTTCTGCAACCAGTTATGGCAGAGAGAGAAGTCATAACTGACATTCCTACTTCTTTGGGATCTTCCAAAGATTCAGTTTGTAGCAGTAGATTTAGTGCAATTGGTGAATTTGGTGCAATCTTGGCAGTTATGGAAGTTGCCAAAGAGAATAGTGATTCAAACATGCAAGAAGATGCCCAAGATTCTTTGCCCACATCATCTAACTGTGATAGAAGAAAAATTAGCAGGTCAATGGTACGCTTCATACGTAGATAGTAGAAAGAAATATATTTATTGTTTATAATGAGACTCCGGTTATTGTTATTTGTAACTAATATTTATGTTCTTGTTGCCTAATGGGGACTGATGGACAGAATTGGGCGAATGGTAACCCAGAAATGCATATCAGCAATACAAGCAACCTGGCAGATTGTCCTCTGCAGAGAGTTCCAACTGCTCCAGTTGTGGTTCATGTATCAAGACCAAAAGAGATTGAGAACAAAAGGAAGGATCTTCCAATAGTCATGATGGAGCAGGAGATAATTGAAGCTATAAATGAAAACATTACTGTTATTACTTGTGGGGAGACTGGTTGTGGTAAGACCACTCATGTTCTACAGGTAACCTAGTTGTGTGCTTTCTGTAAACTGCGTTCTGGATTTCAAGATTATTTTGTCACTATGGTGACGGTCTCAATTTGTGCTTCCTTGTCGGCATATTTCAGTTTCTTTATGAAGCAAGCTTTGGTTCAGACCAATCTACTGTTTCGAGTGGCATTACTGGTGTTACGCAACCACGCCGTGTTGCTATCCTTGCAACTGCCAAGCGGGTGGCATTTGAGCTTGGTTTTTGTCTAGGCAAGGAGATTGGCTTTCAAGTTAGGCGTGATCAGAGGATTGGAGACAGTTGCTCCATCAAGTTTATGACTGATCACATTTTGTTACGAGGAGTGCAGGTTAGCAATATACTTACTAACAACTTATCTCAATGGGACAATGATTCTAGCAAAGACTAGACCTAGTCAAGGCGCTTAATGCTAATGTTTTTCCATATATTTTTCTTTTTAACCATACTTCGTTGTTATTTAATATTGTTGTAAGCTTTCCACCAAATTAAATAAATAAATAAAAAATAAAAAAAGTGTTCTCTTAGACAAATTTGAAGTTAGGACATTGTTCTTTCATTTTCCTTTCTTGTTTTGACTGGTTTGGCTGCACCATCTTTTCTTAAAGTAATGGTTACATTAGTAAATTATTTCTTTTCTTTCATTGAAATATACTTCTATAAACATTTGTCTTTGTAATGCAGAGTGATTTCTTATTGAAGAAGTACTCGATCATAATTTTGGATGAGGCTCATGAGAGGAGCTTGAACACTGACATACTTATTGGAATGCTTTCTCGCATTATACAACAGCGCCAGGTGAGAGCTACAGAATAATTTTATTGGTTTAAGATTTTGTAGATCACAGTTTTGAGGCTTCTACAATCTACAGTTACTTTTAAAGAAAAATTCCCTGTATTTTTTTTTCTTTTTTCTTTTTATGGTTTATGAACTTGTGCTTTGTGGCAGATAATCTATGAGGAGCAGCAGTGTAAGGTCCTTTCAGGAGAAAGAATAAGCCCTGAAAGGAAGATCTCTCTATTAAAACTGGTGCTTATGAGTGCCACCTTACGAGTTGAAGACTTCATTTCCAGAAGGGGGATATTTTGTGATCCCCCACTTGTGATAGAAACTCCAACTCGACAGTATACTGTAACTATACACTTCTCAAAGTGAACAGAGATTATGGACTACATTGGCCAAGCCTATAAGAAGGTCTTGTCAATTCACAAGAGATTGCCACCTTGTGGCATACTTACATTTGTCACCAGTCAGAGAGAAGAAGAGTACTTGTGCCAGAAGCTGCGTCAAGCTTCAAAGGAAATAGTTGAGAATAGTTTTAAAAGAAATATGGGAAACGAGGTTTCTACATACTCTGTAGGGAATGCCGCTGAGGAATATGATATGAAGGAGATCAATGAAGCATATGAAATGCATGGAAACTCACGCCATGATAAAACTGACAGGTTTAGTTCTTATGATGAAGACCATGGTGATTCAGATGATAATGAATCAGATTTTTCTGATGATTTGGGGTCAGATAGTGATCTGGAAAGTGTTGATGACGATAGAGGTTTATTGAACCAGAAAACCAAGGTTGATGATAATATTGCAGAAATATTTAGAGAGGACCGGGACCTTGATTCATTGAAGGCTGCTTTTGAAGTTTTGGCTGGAAAAACTACCTTGAATTCTGATTTTCATGAGAAACAGGTTGTTCCTTCTTTGGAAGGAAGCTCAAACCAATCCATTCCTGGTCTGGAGGAGAAAAGGCATGTAGTAAATGGTCTTTGTGCTGGTGCAATGTGTGTTCTGCCCCTTTATGCCATGCTTCCTGCATCAGCACAGCTTCGTGTGTTTGAAGAGATTAAGGAAGGAGATCGCCTAGTTGTTGTTGCCACTAATGTGGCTGAAACCTCGTTAACCATCCCAGGTATAAAGTATGTAGTTGACACTGGAAGAGAACAGGTTAAGAACTATAACTCATCCAATGGCATGGAAACATTTGAAGTCCAGTGGATAAGCAAAGCATCTGCTGCTCAACGTGCAGGAAGAGCTGGAAGAACAGGGCCTGGCCACTGTTATCGCCTCTACTCTTCTGCAGTGTTTAATAACATTTTTCCTGACTTCTCAAGTGCTGAGATATCAAAAATACCTGTTGATGGCGTCGTCCTCCTCATGAAATCTATGGGCATTCATAAGGTAATTTATGTATGTAATTACAAGCTCCTGTTAAGGTAATAAATCATTTTGGTTCACTAGAAAAACAATGTTTTGAAGGTTACATCTCCACTTTTATCATTTGCTTTCTTTTATGGGTTTAATTAATGATCATATCAACGAACACTACAAACCCAGACTTATGAACCCAAAATTTATCCAGAAAAATAAATCAATGGTTCAAATTCATTTTACTCATAGACACCACACTTCATCAATTTAATCTCCACCACACAAACACATTCGGGGTAAAGGGTGACTTCATAGCATTTTTGTTGTATCAATGGCATAGATTAAGTAGTCCAATTGGGGTTTGCTTTGCATTACATTTGGATCATTTTTAATCTTGCTTTTGCCTCTTCCTGTTTTGGACTAGAGATTATTTGAGCTGCTAATGTCAACTAAAAACTTCTTACTTGATGGAGTTTGTAGAAATTTCTCTGGCTGGGCTCTGATTATATGTTTCTATTTTTCATTTTTTATCTCTTAAAAAACAACCCTGATAATTTTTTAGATAAATATCTTTAATGTTTTGTATATTGCAGGTTTCAAATTTCCCATTTCCTACTCCTCGCGAGGTTTTGAAGCGGAGTGTTGCTTAAAGGCTCTTGAAGCACTTGATAGCAAAGGGAGATTGACATCCCTGGGGAAGGCCATGGCACAGTATCCCATGAGCCCTCGCCACTCTCGGATGTTGCTTACAGTAATACAAATAATGGGAAAGGTGAAAATTTATGGGCGGGCAAATCTTGTTTTAGGATACACATTGGCAGCAGCTGCAGCCTTGAGCTTGTCAAATCCTTTTGTAATGCAGTTTGAGGGAAGCCACACAGATACAGATGGCTTGAAGAAGGATGAGTCTGACTCCATAGATAGCAAGAAAAGAACTGACAAGGAAGCAAAGTTGAGGAAGAAAAAGCTTAAAGAATCTGCTAAAGTGTCTTGTGCAAAATTTTATAATCTCAGCAGTGATGCTTTGACTGTAGCTTATGCCTTGCAGTGCTTTGAACTTTCTGGAAACTCAGTTGAATTCTGCGATGACAAGGCACTACATCTGAAAACCATGGAGGAAATGTCCAAGCTGAGAAAGAAGCTACTTCAACTAGTGTTTAACCAAAGTTTTTGTGGTCTTCAACAGGAATTTTCATGGACTCATGGTACTGCAGAGGATGTAGAACGTGCTTGGAGGGTTTCGTCCAATAAGTATCCTCTGCTATTGAATGAGGAGGCGCTCTTGGGCCAAGTTATATGTGCCAGTTGGGCTGATAGGGTTGCGAAACATGTCAGACGAGTGTTGGCATCAGAGGGAGACATAAAAGTTAATGCAAGTCGCTATCAGGCTTGGATGGTTAAAGAACCTGTTTTCCTGCATCGGCGGTCCTCTGTTGCCAAGTCTGCCCCTGAATTTTTGGTGTACAGTGAACTGCTATACACAAAACGACCATATATACATGGTGCAACAAGTGTAAAATCTGATTGGCTTGTTAAATATGCCGGGTCTCTCTGCACTTTCTCTGCCCCCCTCACAGATCCCAAGCCTTATTATGATCCTCTGACAGACCAAGTTTTCTGTTGGGTCATTCCAACTTTTGGCCCTCATCTATGGCAGTTCCCATTGCATGGTATTCCAATTAAAGATGATGTGCATAGAGTGGCTGTGTTTGCCTTTTCTTTGCTTGAAGGTCATGTTTTACCATGCTTAAGATCTGTCAGGAAGTTCATGGCAGCCTCACTGGGTAGCATTTTGAGGCTAGAGGCATCAGGTCATAGAAGGGTTGGGAATCTTCTAACAAGTTAAAGACCAGGTTGAGAATTATTGACAGCTGCACCACTTTAAGAGAGGCCTGGAATGAGAACCCCAGAGAATTGCATGCAGAAATTCTGGACTGGTTTCAGGAGGGTTTTAGTGGTCAATCTGAAGAGCTTTGGTTGGAAATGCACCGTGAGGTTCTTTTAGATCCCAAAGAATGTTTTCCCAAAAGGGTCAAGAGAGATAAAAAGGAGAAATACAGGATTTGAACTTACAGTTGTTGACTTTTATCTTGGCATGTATCATCTCAATGGCTCTCAACAAACTCTGGAAAAGAAACATGCTCCAGAATTTTATGGAGCCATCGACTAGATTTTTTATTCCATTGTAGAACGCTGTATGCTAATATTTCAATCCAATTTGTCTTATTTCATTTGAATAGTCTTGTTTGTTTTGATAGTAATTATTGTTTATAAATGCAGAATTACGTAAATTGTAACATCTGGTCAGCTTACAATTGTTGAGTTATCAAATACATTGCATGGCCAACCTTTTCAGCATAAGAATGGATAGAACTGTAGGACCTTTGGTGAGAATTTTGGGAACCAAGATTGGGTTTTCTCAAGCATTATCATTTTATGTTGAAATCTTCCTTATCTGCTTCTAGTTCTCCCTCCCCCTCCTTTCCCCTGGTTGCAGATAGTTTGAAATCAATAAACAAGTTAAATTTGAACACTTTTTAAAATTCATTAAGGTTTAAAATTGTGCTTTCATTGTTCTTTGTGGAGCAACCCACTTCATAAGTTTGTGGACATTCTCTATGCACTCTAAAACTGTTGCTATCGTGATGACTGTAGTGAAAATTGCTACTGCTGTTGTGTCATGTGCAACGGCTTTGATGCTTGTGCATATTATTCCTGATCTGCTAAGTGTCAAAACACGAGAAGTATTTTTGAAGAGTAAGGCTGAAGAGCTTGACAGGGAGATGGGTCTTATTATGTCTCAAGAAGAAACAGGAAGGCATGTTAGGATGCTTACTCATGAAATTAGAAGCACACTTGACAGACACACAATTCTAAAACTACTATTGTTGAGTTGGGTAGGACTTTAAACCTGAAGGAATGTGCACTGTGGATGCCATCACAAAGAGGTTTGAATCTCCAACTTTCTCACACTCTAAACAATCTAATACCTGCTGGATCTTCTGTGCCAATCAATCTTCGCATAGTCAATGAAGTCTTTAATAGTGCTGAAGCAATCCATATTCCACATACATGCCTATTGGCAAGGATCAGACCTCCTGTGGAAAGATATGTGCCACCTGAAGTTGTTGCCGTACAGGTTCCTCTTTTATATCTTTCAAATTTCCAAATTAATGATTGGCCTAACCTCTCTTCAAAAAGCTATGCTGTGATGGTTTTGATTCTCCCTATGGATGGTATAAGAAAATGGCACGACCATGAGTTGGAACTTATGGACGTTGTTGCTGACCAGGTTTTTTTTTTTACCCACTCATCCTTTCCCTTTGCAGCCTTTTGATTGCCTTCTGATTTTCGGAAATGTTGTGTTATCTAATACTTTCAAAGTGGCTATTATTCAACCTGCTATAGAAGTTATAATCATCTGTTTTGCTTGAAATTTTTGAACATAAATCATGCATTCTCTTGTTGTTTATGGTTCACTTTTCATTGCCTGGGAAATTGAGTAAAAAATTTAATCAACTTCTGTTCACCATTGTTATTAGTTTTAGTTCAATTCCCTGGGACACAGACAAAAGCATGGTTTGGTCCTCTATTAAAATTGTGTAAATGATAGATAAATGGTTTCTTTTATCAGTTTTGTACCCCATAAATCTCAACCCAAGTATGACTATCTATTACTGATTAACCCCAAAGTTCTTGTATTTTTGTAACTGACTTTAGAAATTAGTACTTGGAAACTTGATTTGACCTTGGGAAACAATTAGTAACTGATAAAAGAAAGTGCTGCAAGTGCAAAGTCATAGCTTGTCAAGTGCAATCTGAGACTTGTTCAATGCAATCCATTAATTTGTGCTTATTAGTGGTAGGTTTCTCCATTAGACTATGTTTAGTACACCTTATGGAACCATTTTATATGATGGAGCAATAAATGAATTACTAAAAATAGTATGGTTGTTATGTACAAGTAGCAAGATACATCAGTGTTCTTAAATATCAAGCAGTGCATCCATTGATTATCCACTATCAATAATTATTTCGATACATTCAATAGGGTATAGAATCACCCTTATATATGCAGCGGTGTTCACAGGTGTATTCAACAAAATGAATTCTCTTCCTTTCTGTAGCGACCCCATCTCGGACAATGATTAGTACTTGATTAATTACGAGGATTTGAAATTAATTGCCGAGTATTAAGATTTAACTTTGGATTTATGAGAATTGTGGAATTTGACTCGTATATGATTCTATTGAAGACTAATTTTGGAATTAGAAATTAAGGGTCCAAATGGCTTAAGGAAGTGAAGTTAAGAAGTTGAATCGATCTAATTTTAATTACGGGTCCATTTGGGAGTTTAATTAAATATTCAATTTAGTTTAGTGAAATTGAGATTTGATTAATTGGATCCTAATTGGAGTTAATTAAGCTAATTAAATTATGAAGATTGAGAATTGTGATTATTGTGAATTAAATTCATTTATGTAGAGCCTTTTGGAAGTTGATTAAAAAATCTGATTCAGAATGATAAATGTAAATATAATTAATTGGGCCTTATGGAAGTCAAATTGGACTAATTAAATCATGTAGGAAATTGTAATTAGTTATGATTAATTAACTTATGTGCTAATTAGGATTAATCAAGATTAAGTGATGTTTAATTAAACTAAAGTGCGATTAGTGTGCTAAACCAATGAAACATGGGTTCATATTACATGGACAAGTGTCCCACTAATGAGAAAAATAAAATAAAATAATAAGAGATGGCAATTGAAATCAATATGGTGCCTTACACTCTGCTGGAAGCAGAGTTAGAAAAGAGAAAGGAAGAGAGAGCTCGGCTGAGAGGGAGAAACCGGGAGGAAGGAGAAAAAAAAAAAGGGAAAAGAAGGAAGGCTTGTGGAATACCAAGATTCAAGCTTAAAATTATGGAAAATTCATCTTCAAGTAAGAAATTTCATCCTCTTCTTAGTATTGTTTAAATAATCTAGACATAAATTGATTTAAGATGAATTTTGAGAGGATTAAAAATGAAATTTGAGGATCAATTATATAAATTGATGGAAATTAGGTTTTGCATGTAAAAATAGTTAGCTTAAAGATTATGAGTTATGATTCTTTAAATTTGTTAAGTTTGAGTTTAATTTTGAGAATCATTCTTGAATTGGGTTTTAAAAATTACATGCAACAATGATGTATTGAAGATTTAATCCATACAATGGAATTAGGTTCAAATTTATGGAAATCAACTTAGAAATTAATTATTTTGGGTTTGATCTTGCATATTTTATATGAATTTGAGTCTTATTTTTACATGCATGTGATTTGGTGAAATTAAAGAATTAATTCATGAACATGGTTAAGGTTAATCAATATGGAAATAATTATAATTCTTCAATTGAGCTTGGGTTTGGAAACCTTGGTATATATGAGAAGTAAATTTACATACATCATGAATTGAGAAAGTTATGAAATTAGTCTCATGGATTTTGAAGAAATTGAATCATTTAAGTTCACATTTTGAAGAGAAAAATGAAATGTTTTATGAACATCAAGTTTATGGAAATTTAGAATTAATTCTAACGTTAGATAAAGTTTTTGATTTTATAATTAGATTTGTTTAATCCATGCAAGTAATGTAATTTAAGATTTTATTATTTAAATTAATCATATTTTGGAACACCTATGATTATGAATTAAATTGAGGTTATAAATTAAGTTAAGTTTAAGATTATGGAAATTAGTTGGAAAATTTATAAGAATATAAAATTAGTAATTTTGATGTCAATTTCATACATGTGAATAATTTTCTAAGGAATTTATGACTTTAATTTCATGCTTTGAAGGAAAATAGAAAGAGCTTGAAGTCAATTTTATGTAACTAAAAAGAAAATGAGAGATCGGAGCCATGTTCAAATTATGGAGATTAATTTAGAGGTTAATCACTTTGGGTTTGGAATTTGGCTTGATATGGAGAAAATGAATTAAAACTAAATTTGGGCAATTGGAACATGATTTTGAATGAATGTTTTCTAATTTGAAGTGTTTACTAAATCATACAGTGGTTCTCCATTTTTGTGTATAAAAAATACATGTTTTGAGGTTTTGAATATCAAATATGAATTTCAATTACAATTTTGGAAATTTCAGAATTTGTGTTGTCCGCTCGAGCGTCAAAATCGAGCTCCCAGTAGTTTTTCAAATTTTACAGTCCGCTCGAGCGACCAAAGTGGCGCTCGAGCGGAGACCTATTTTCAGTATATTTTGGAAATTTCATTTAGTTCACATTTTTATTCTCATCTCTTCCCAAGGCATTCTAGACATGATTTATGACTCAATAAAGATTAATAAGCTACCAATCAACATAGATTAGTTAGTTAAAGAATGAATCATTGATCTAGTGGTAATTGTTTAAGAAGCCAAGTAAAATATCAATCTATTTGGAAAAGAAGGGCTTAGTAATGAAAGAATATGTGAAATAAGAAACTGGTCTATTTGAATGAGAAAGAATAAGTGTAGTAGAACTTCGGACTATTTAGACAGAAAAAGACTAGAAAAGTCAAGTTTGACCAAGGGAGTAATATTGTATTTCAATGTGTATATGTTATGTGCTTGTGTAGGTCACGCGCCATTGTCTGCCTAATTTATCTGATATGTCCAGTCTGTCTGATTTGCTTCTGCAACCATCTGTGAGTAATAACTCTGTAAAGTTATGTTTAACTTTAATTATTTTTCAGTGACATGAGATGATAAGTTCTGAAATGCTATGTTTGAATGAATGAATGATAGTCCAATTTTCCTTGGAATGTAAACGCGGTATCCCTAGCCGAGGCCCTCGCCCAGGGGACACAATACTGAGGCACATGGTCAGGAGGCCCTCGCCTGGGGGAAAGAATACCGTGGCACAAGCCCTTGCTCGGGGGAAAGAATACCGTGGCACAGGCCCTCGCCCGGGGGAAACAATACTGTGGCATAGATATGTTACTCGGTACCGGAGGTTCCATTATGAGACTTACTATGCTTGACCAACATGATATGTTATGCTAAGGGAAGTGTACCACACATGAATTGAATATGGATATGGCTGTAGTTCTTTTCTGATACGAATATGAATATGAATATGCCTACGTTTCCGATCTGATAAGAGATTGATTTTTTGATTTCTGCATTCAATATGGTCATCATTCATTAAACCCCTTGACGCTGTTATTATTCACTGGGCTTTAGCTCACAGTATTATTTATGTATGTAGGTGATCAAGTGCGTGACCAGGCTTAGAGGCTTCTGCCTAGAATCTGTTTTTGTCAGCTAACCTATGTGCCTCCCGTGGAGGTTCCGGACATGTCAAGTGATTATGGCTATGCGATTTAAAGTTTAAGTTTTGCTTTCTTGTGGGTTAAACAAGTCTTGTGTATTTTGTAAATAGGGTTAGGTCCCTTTTTGTCTAATCTGTTTATATATGATGACTTAAAGATAATATGTATTTATGTATATGAAAAGTTTAAAATTTTTCTGTCTCATGTAAGTCTGCACAGCTCAATGGACGTTGTATATTTGTTATTTGTTTCCGTTAGTCCCTAATATTATGTTAATCTGTCTCAGAGGCCTTCGGTAATCCCGGGATTACTAGCCGGTTGCGATGCTAAACCTATAGAGGCGGGTTTGGGTCGTGACACTTTCTATCTTTTCTAGATTTTTATATTTGTTTAGATTCCTGGTTACAGAAAAAGGAAAGTTCGGGGATTTCCTGGGAAAAAAAGAAAAAGTACTGTGTTACTAGATCAGTTCGACTCCTATTAGGATGTGAAATGCACCCTAATATGATTAATATAGCTAAAAAATGATGCTGGAGCTATTTGCATCTTGCAGTTGTTGTTGAGTGATGCTGCAGAGCCTTCTAGTATGAGCAATTCTTAATAATGTTTCCCCAACTCAATGTAATACTGTGAAAAACTGCCATATGCATCAAGTACTTGATACAAGTTATGGTTGGTTGGATAGTTCATTCTTTTTGGGACTTCTGTCCTCTTTTGCCTCATTGTAACTACTGCCTCTAAAATAGAAAGATGATGGACACACTGAGGTGTGGGTGTGAGCATTCATTTTTTTTTTTAAAAAAAAAAAATTAGAAATTGTAGGCCATCGATTTGATAAAGCCTATCGCATCTGTAAAGAAGCTATCCTTGACACTTATTTTGGCCCCGGATTTACCTGTCTATGCTGTTGGTAATGAGAAACGGCTAATACAAACAATCTTAAATATTGCTGGCAATGCTGTGAAGTTCACAAAAAAGGGTTATATCTCAGTTGTGGTTTCTATTGCAAAACCAGAATCTTTGAGAGACTGCCGACCTCCGAGTTTTATCCTGTGTCAAGTGAGGGCTACTTCTTTTTAAGAGTGCAGGTTGAGTACTCCATTTCTTTTCATTCGAATAAATTTAAGAGCCTTTTTAAATCCATACTGTGTCTGTAAATGAACATTTGTAAGGTGCATCATCCATTGGACTTCTTTTTATTTGATCTTACACAAATAAAATAAAAATAAAAACCAAATAAAATTATTAAAAAAATTCTATAATTCATGCAATGGCTTTTTTACACATAATAACATAAATCTTCCAACATGATGAATCAATTTTTATTTATTTATTTTTTTTTACCTATATTCTAGTTGTTTACGGGCATGAAATTGGAACTTTTGAAAACACACTTGCCTTCCATTTGCAGGTTAAAGATACTTTCTGCGGAATTAACCCCCACGACATCCCACTCATTTTTACCAAATTTGCTCAGCCTCGAAGAGGTTCAAACTGAAATAATGGTGGTGCTGGTCTGGGACTCGCCATTTGCAAACGGTAATAGTTGTGATTATTGATTCTTCTCTGTTAGCCATTTAACAATAGAGTATTCTTTTGCTTGCTTTGGATGTTTTTACATCGTTTGTAAGTTACTTTGAAATGATTGAATCAGGTTTATAAATCTAATGGGAGGGTCACATTTGGATTGAGAGTGAGGGCTTTGGACAAGGGTACCACAGTAACAATCATAGTGAAACTTGGAATCTGCAATAGCCCAAATGAACCAACAATGCAGCAGTTTGTACTTGCAGGTAGAGCAAATCAAGGGAGTGAAGATCTCATTGGACATAAACCATGGGCAGAGCTATGCATAAAGTAGTGGGTTCAATTGAACTGACTGAACTTCGATTTTTTTTTTTTTTAGAATTATGTGGTAGTATATAAAATTTGAGAGATTTTCATAAATTGACACCATTAAAATTGTTCAAAAAATAGATTTATTAATACAAAAAATAATAATAATTGCTTAAAAGAATAAGGCTATTTCAGTAACTTTTTTATTTTTTAGGAAAAAATGTGCAGAAAAGTAGAGAGAGTGGCTAAAATGTATAGTTGACAAACAAAGCCTTAATTCCATACTTACAATATTTGTATATTATTTTTTATTTAGCATGCATAACAATAACTATTAATAAGTAGTTAAATATGAATATTAATGGAACTTTTATGGATACTATTACAACAATCATCGTGAACGTCAAACATTAGATGGTGGATTTTTTTTGGTGAAATCAAAATAACATTTAGGTTTCACCAAAAAACAGGGTTCGGCTACACTCACTATAATGCCTTTATTTTAAAATAACATTTCATGGATTTTTTTTTCTTTAATATTAAATTCCCTCTATTTTCAATCATAAAGAATGATAAAGGCATTTCACTCTTTATAAAAGGTTATTACTTTGGTCTTTAGTCCGACAACGGTAGAACTGGTAATCTTGCTGTTACTCTTTATAAAATTGAATGCCTTGGGTAAAATGTTATTTTAAGCAATAGTATATTTTATTATAAAACATGAATAGTTATGTAATTTAATGAAAAAACACCCAAAAGACAGAACCATTAAAAAGAAAGCAAGGTTAAAGACATGGGGAGGGGGGCCAAAAGGAAACAAGGCCTGATATTTTACAGTATAGCACTGCACATAAAAGGGGGGGTTTTCCAGAGGCAAGGGGGCCATGCCCCCCCCCCCATAGTCTTCACAAAGTTCCATCACTGTGCCATCTAGCCGGAACAATATTGATATATCACGCCTATTGTTTAGCCACATTAATTGGCATAGTTGCCTATATTGTCAAATTTGGAGGATTAATCGCTTTTGATAATTAAAACAGCCTGTTATTCTCTGCTCTTGTCAGCACACTTGATCATATAAACCTAACTTGTTTACTAGTTTTCCTATCAAGGGGTGTGTGTGTGTGTGTGTGTGAGAGAGAGAGAGAGAGAGAGAGAAAGAGAGAGATGCATGTGGTGCTCTATAGGGATTGACATGTAAATGATCTGAGGTCTCAAATATGATACACTCCCATCTGGTTCTGTGATGTTAGCTGCATTATTGTTGTAGAATACCCCTAACAAATTCTCAATGTTGGTTTGACTGTACACTGTAAGCCACTATAGATGTGTCTTGGTCAAAGTTAATAGTTCTCTAGGCACTATTATCATCACCATCATTATCATCTTCATTAGAGCCACAGGCCCCGCTGCATTGGACTTACAGTTTCTCGTGTTGTGGTGGGTTCTGCAGAACATTTTGGGGCAAGTCCTTTCGGAGTGTGGAGTTCTCATAAAGATCTTGAATTTTGCTCATCCAAGGAAGCATGGAGGTATTTGGCAAATCTATGGTAGCCGTGCCTTCAAATGTTATTTATTTGTCATGTATCCTAGGCCAAGATGGGCCAAACCCTGTTCACAAGTGCGAATGGAAATGTGAAAATGAAAATGTATGTGGAAACATATACCGGTGCAGACTAACTGGACTTACACACATCTGTGACAAAAGCTGTAACCAGAGAATTGTCTATGATAACCATAGCTCCCTTTGCAGAGTGAGCAGGCACGTTTTTCCTCTAACACCAGCTGAGGAACAGACAGTGAGAGGTGTCCGGAGGAAGCTTGATGCAGAGAGTTCCCCCTCTGATAGCTGCGCTTTTAAGCGCATACGGGATGCACAGCTTCATCCCTCTGCTTTTGAGAGATCCTTTGTTGCTGTTGGTCCAATCTGCAGTCAATTTGGAGATGGCATGGACATGAGCTAGGCATAATAATTAATAAACTCTCTTTTGTTTCCTATTTTCCTTTTTTACCTTCTTATCTTTTTTTCCTTTATTTTTATTTTTATTTTATTTTTTATTTTTTTTTAAATGCGGCAAGTATGAATAATGGAACTTGATGCGGGGTTCTTTAATAGAGGACCTTATATGTCACTTTAATGGAGGACCTTATATGTCGTGTCTCTGTAGGAACAAGTTATATTTCTAAACTTGTTTAATGGATTGCAGCGCTTCCTCTAGCTTGACTTTTTATAGAAGATTTGTCAATGCTATATCTCTACTAACTTTTGCACAGGGTTCCTGGTGAAGCTTGAGTTTTATTTTTTTACTGCACCAAAGTTTGGAACAAGTACAGGGTTCTTTTGCAAGCCCTGTGTCAGTAGCTTCATTTGATATTTTTTTAATTTTTTATTTGGGCTTGGTACGATCTGTTTCTAAGTGGTGCATTTTTCATAATGTGTTAAGAGATATGTTGCTTATATTATTGTGAAACATGTTGAGTTTATTTCATGTTTATATTTATTGTGATTCACACCGGAAGCAATTTCCTCCTTGACTTTGGGTACTATGTGGTTGGTTCATGTTGTACGGGTTTTCCGGGTACAACGGAAGACATTTTTGGTTTGTGATCTTGTAGAATTTTATCATAACTTTTCATTGATTTACTTTTCCAACTGTGTTTCAGGTTGAAGAGGAACAACGCGGTTTCTTTCATATTTTATGCCTTATCTTCTTTTGTTTGTTTTTATTTTTTCATGCTAGTTTTAATTGATGGTTTGCTGAAGCTAATGTTATTTTTGCAGGTTGAAGCGTGTGCCATTCAGGAGAGTTGAAAATATATTATTGCATGTGATTGAACAATTGTGATTTGGAAGTTTATTGGACTGAAAGTTAGGCATTGCTGATGCATTTTGTTTATTGTTCTTGCAGGGAGGGAAGAACTTTGATTGCAGTGGGGAACAGTGTACGCTAATTGACTGTAGAAGTGCAATTGCTGCAGGTTGATTTGGCCAGTTTTATGTGTTTCATTTGTAACAGACATATGAAGTTGGGCCAGCATTCTTGACTTAAGGTTAACTTCACATGGTTTATGCTGGATGGCAACAAGGAAGAACCTAAACTGTGAAACAATTGCCCAATCGTTGCATATGCTGTGAGAAAATTCGTGGAGCATCTTCTGCTTTACCATTAATGGATTTTTGTGTTCCAAAGGCTCCTAGTTGGTCCACTGGATATTGAAACAATAGCTTGGATGGCTTTGTGAAGGCAGCAATGGCACTTGTTACCCCTTTTCAATAAATAACCTTGAAGGGTTATTTCTTGTTATTGATTTCTATTTTCAACACATTTTTTGGCTTCTGGCCTAGCTTTATTGGTTGAGAGTGTACTTGAGAAGATTGTCTAATTTATATGCATTGCTACCAAACTGATTTGAACTATCTTCCCTGTTATCCACATGGTGGCTGCATCTTATGGTGTTGTTCCAAGACATTCCTGTTTGAAGTTTCCCCTGCTGTGTGTCGTGCTTTGATACAATTTGCAGGACAATCTGTACGCGACTTTTTGACCAAATGGGCAAGTTCCTCAATAGATGTCTTTTCTAGATGTAGGCTTAAGAAGTTATAATTTGAATGTTATTCTAGATTGTAAGGATGTGGTTGCTTGAAGAGATTGGCTCTATCATTTCGGTATTGTCATAAATTTTCAGTAAATGGTTTTAATGTTATTTTGTATAAAATGTGATTTACTATTATTTTGTGCCTGAATGATTATGTTCCATGCTGGCTGCTTCCTTCCATTGTGATTTGTTGACATGTCTGTTCAGGTAAGTTGTATTCACTCTGCAAATGCTGCGTATTGTCTTATGTTTCAAGTACTCACACACACTAGTTGATGAGTAAATTGTTGTTTGTTGTTGGGTGGATAACAACAATTTATAATGAGAGCAGACTCCCCTTTTATTAGATAGTAAACGTCATCATAGTATCCATGTTAGCATAATGTTTTGCATTGTTAGCCATATCTACCTCTAATTGTCAAACCAAGTCCTCTGGAAGTCCCGGAATTGAGTTGTTTTTTCTTTTGATCAAGTTACTCCTCTACAGTCTCTCTTCTTAGCAAATGATCTTGCCTCTTATATTTTTGGGTCAACAGCTGGACTAGTTCCTCTTCTTGTAAAATGCCATCTTCATATTGGCTCTAACTCTAGGGTTGGTAATTCTGCTTCTTCCTGTCCCTTTTTTAACACACCCCCTCTTCCTGATTGCTCTAATGAACACTTGCTGGCAGCGTGCTCCCCTTGCACCATTGTTGTGTGCTCTAAAGTGGGCTGAAAAGTATTATTATACTCATATTAGTGTCCTTGCTAACTCCAAATCTTTGTTTGGATAGCTGAAGGGATGTAGAGAGATTGTGGCCAGCTTAGCTCCATGAATCTTTGACGAGTGCTTTACATTCACTCTTGTTGTGTTTCATTTTGTTGTAGAAACCAGCTTCTCCATGCTTTTGCTTCGAGTAATGTTATACATAATCTTATTTCTTATCTCATTTTCTCACTCCTAAACACAAGGCAATGAGACCCACATTCATAAATGCATATAGGACGCACTCACTTGTGTGTTAGATTGAGAAAAGGAGGTTAGAAATAGCATTATATGTAACATTTTTCATTTAGCTCACTTTGCTGCTGTCTCCAGAACCCCCTTATATGGCTAGTAGTATTGTTAGTACAAGGTCTGTTAGGATGATGCCATTAGTAGTATTTTGATTTACTTGGCCCTTGATCTGTGGGAAGCTTGATTTGTGTATTAGATATTACTTCTGACTTTATCTATATATGAAGTTCTCTATTTCTTTTTTCAAAAAAAAAATTAATTTTAAAAAATAAAATAAATTCAAGTCTTATATGAGCACCTCAATCAGCACCATCTCTAATGGGATCCTTGCAAACCAAGTCTCTAATCTTCATGTAGATCAGCCATTTGCCGTGCTCCTATTGAAATTATTATTATTATTATTATTATTATTTTTTCAGAAAGAAATTAAAATCTTTGATACAAAAACTTTTGAGATTGTAATCCTAGATAGTAGATGGTAAAACAGGCCCTGCTTGAGGTCTGCCAAAGTACTCAAAGGCCTCACCATTGACGGTTCTTCAAATACATGAAGGTAATTGTGGGTGTTGATTTTTAACCACACAACCAAACAGGGAACTCAGCTGGAGAGTACTGACAAAATACATTAAGCCCAACAACCTACACAAGAAAATGAGAATCCGACGGTGGTTTTTCCACCCGGGGACACTTCAACGATCTAGTCAATAATCAATATCTCTCAAAGATGGCAAATTGGGCTTAAACTCACAAGAAAGAACTTACCTCAAACCCACGAGGGTGCCTTGCTTTTATAACTAGCAATGACCTGATCCCTTTAGAAGCCTCACTTTAATGGACTTAGGCTCAATGCTCATCCTGGACTCTCAACAAAATAGGAATAAACTCTTCTTGAGTCTTATCTTTATCCAGATTGAGGCCCTCTCCCGTTCTAAGAGTCTTGTCATTTATCTGCTTATCTCAGATTTCGATTTCTCTGCAAATAACCACGGCCTAGCCGAGATCATCTTGGCAGTTCGACTAAGTCACGTGGCACCTCGGCTGACACTTCAGCGTCACCTTAGCCACATGTTGTCATTCACAAAATACATCCCCACAGTAATGTCTTATATTATTCGCAGACATGATTTAGTTCCAAGTTATCAGATTGATATGGTGGTGGGGGCCTTCTGATAAAATTTTTTCACTGTTTTTACATCAATTTTGTCCCCTTCATCAACAATGGTCCTTGCAATAGGTAAAGAAAGGAATTGCTTGAAAGTGAGGCCATCTAAGTTGAAAAAAGAAATAGTAAACCCAAAAAGATCTTTCGGCGGATTGATTTAACAAAGCAATGTTATCCCTTTTTGTTTTCTATAGTATCCTTATGTCCCAAACAACAACAATATTCAAATTCTTCTTCACATGTACAATATGTAGCAGTGGCCACCCCTTTGACAACCACCCAGAAAGAACAGAGTCACCGTAATGAGAACACAATGAATGTTCTTTGTTTCCATTTGCTTCACTTTTTTTTTCATTTGCTTATACATTCACTGTTACTAACAATTGTCCATTTACAATCTAGCCCGGGACACTTGCTAGTTCAGGGACTCCACAACTTTCGACAACAGGATTTGAGTTGGGCTCGAGCCAAAGTGTCAGCATTTCGACAATTCCAGGGTGGTCAGGTCAGATATGGCACGGACAGGCTGCAATTTTAATGAGCTAGGCGTGGGTACGTGTCAAACAGGGGACTGTGATGAGAGGCTTGAATGTGATGGCATGGGAGCTATACCGCCTATATCTCTGTTCCAAATAACCCTCGGCACCAGCATTGAGAAAGATTACTATGATGTTAGCTTTGTCGATGGTTACAATCTTCCTGTGGTTGCAGCCCCACAAGGGGTATATGGTGAATGCAATGCCACGGGCTATGTTATAGACATCAACATGGGTATGTATGTATATGTTCTTTTAAACCAATATCGAATGAGGTTTAATCAAGCTTATCACAATTCTAATTCAAAAAGTTTGATTATCAAGCTTTGGTTAAAATCTTAACGAGTTTTAAAATATGTTCAAATTTAACTTGTTTATATAACGAGTCAAGTTTGAATAATTAGGTTTGTTTTATAGCCTTGAGCTTAAATTGATGAAAGTAAAAAAACTTCAGGTTGTCCAAAAGAACTTCAGGTGGTGGGTGAGGATGGTGGAGGAGAGGAAGGCAGCGGTGGCGGTGGCAGTGGCAGTTGTAGTGGCAGAGTAGTAGCATGCAAGAGTGCATGCAATGCATTTGGGCTAGACCAATATTGCTGCAGTGGGGAGTTTGCAAACCCTAGTACATGCAGGCCATCTTTTGATGAGAGGCTTGAATGTGATGGCATGGGAGCTATACCGCCTATATCTCTGTTCCAGATAACCCTCGGCACCAGCATTGAGAAAGATTACTATGATGTTAGCTTTGTCGATGGTTACTGTAAATCAAAACACAAAACATGCAGCGGAATAAAATGTTTAAAGCATACCTCTTTTGATCTAAAACATCGTGGATAAATCACGTGCTTCCAGAATCTAATCAATCAATCCCAGCAGTGGGGTGATATTACAATGGTGAATATCACCCACATAAACCACAGTGCAAATGGCTTTTGATCGTTATTTTGGGAGAGAGTCAGTATCATGGGTAGAAACAAAAAACATACGTTGTTTTTCTCTTGGTTACCCATAACCATATATCTGATATATAATATATTATTATTATTTATCCATATCAGTTAAAACTGATAATATCTGTATCTTGAGTGGTTATCCTAAATAGGTTTGAATTCAATTTCAAAACCTATTTGGATAGGATTCCAAATTCAAATTCTAATGGTCATGCCACATGGGCGCCCATTACTAACAGTTACAATCTTCCTGTGGTTGCAGCCCCACAAGGGGTATATGGTGAATGCAATGCCACGGGCTATGTTATAGACATCAACATGGGTATGTATGTATATGTTCTTTTAAACCAATATCGAATGAGGTTTAATCAAGCTTATCACGATTCTAGTTCAAAAAGTTTGATTATCAAGCTTAGGTTAAAATCTTAACGAGTTTTAAAATATGTTCAAATTTAACTTGTTTATATAACGAGTCAAGTTTGAATAATTAGGTTTGTTTTACAGCCTTGAGCTTAAACTGATGAAAGCAAAAAACTTCAGGTTGTCCAAAAGAACTTCAGGTGGTGGGTGAGGATGGTGGAGGAGAGGAAGGCAGCGGTGGCGGTGGCAGTGGCAGTTGTAGTGGCAGAGTAGTAGCATGCAAGAGTGCATGCAATGCATTTGGGCTAGACCAATATTGCTGCAGTGGGGAGTTTGCAAACCCTAGTACATGCAGGCCATCTTTTTATTCAACCATTTTCAAGAGAGCATGTCCTAGAGCTTATAGTTATGCCTTTGACGATAGCACCTGTGACGACCCGAAAATATGTATCTGGCTTACGGGAATTAAATTATACATTCGTGATGATTATGTGGCTTAATTAACGAATATTTCTCCAACTTGGAAAAATATATGTTGAGGTAACGACTTTGGAACTAAAATTGACGACCTCAATGGGTTCAGAAACTAGAATTGGGTACATGAATATGTTAATGGAAATTTTTAGAACCATTTGAGAAGTTTAATTGAAAATTGATTTCGTTTTATTCGTAAGGGTGTGTTTGGCTCTTCCTAATTGTGATAACCTTATATATAGATATATATGATATATGAGTTGAACTCATCACTTTTGAGCCCAAAAATATCTGAGGGGGAGGAAAAGACACGAGAGAGAGAGAGAGAGAGAGAGAGAGAACTCAAAGAGAAGAAGGGAGAAAGTGTAGGAATGAAAGAGGAAATCCATGACTATGCAAGAACAAGTGGTGTTAAAGGCTTAAGGTAAGATTTCCCCTCTCAATACTTGAAGATCATAAGTTAAAGGGTGAGTTTCATGGGTATGTGTTTTGTTTCATCAAGCAAGAAGATGTTGAATCTTTGTACACAGCATGAATTTATGTTCACAAATTGATTTCTTGTAAGAGTTTTATGGTTCTTACAGAGGCTAAAGAGGCTTTCACCATATAAGTGAGCTTAGAACTCCCAACCATGTATACTTTATGATTTTGTGTTTTGATTCTCAACCTTGTTCTTGTAAATGGGAAATTGAGTATTGTTTTAGAGTTATGATTTTTTATGGAAGCTAAGGATGTGAAATTTAACATGTTAAAGAGTTTTGGGCTTTAATTTACATAAAATTGAAGTTTAATTTTGAAAATGAGGGGTTCCAAGTCAAGAAGCCATTTTCGGACTGATTTTTACCCAGTCTCGCACGTGTCCTAGGATTTCCCGCTCGTGCGGCTAATTGTGTCCCCCACAAAGTTACATTCTGAAATAAAAGCACGTGCCTTGGATTTCCCGCACGTGTGGATTTGGTCCCGCACGTGCGGCACTTCCCTATTTCAGCCCAACTTCGGATAAGCGTATCTCTCTCATCCGGACTCCATTTTAAGTGATTCTTGAGCCTGAATTCAAGCCCTGGAAGTCTAGTTTTCAATGGTGGTAATCTCACATCCAAATTCTGAATACACAAATAGATATGCCTAAATTAGTGAAGGTTGTTCACTTTCTGTCTACCGGTTTCATGCTATTTCTTCTTCTAACCCAGTTTCCTTTCATTTCCTCATATTTTCCTAGACATGGATTATGACTTATTGAGGACTAATGAGTTTAGAACTAACATAACTAATTGATTAAAGAGCAAAGAAAGGGATCGGTTACATTCATATGTTGTGTTATGTAATTGTGGTTGTAGGTCAAGACGATGACATCGTCCAACTGTTATCAAGATCCCATCACTGTGAGTAATAATATTGTAAAGATATGTTTATTTATATTTATTTCGATACATAAATGTTGTGATGTTTGGCGTTATGTTTTATGCGAATGAATAAGGTACAAGAACTGTGATATGGAATATGGATATAAAATGTGAATTGTTGGTAATATGATATGGTGGGCCCAAGGCCGTTCTGTTTATGCTATGACATGATATGAATTGTTCGGTTTTTAAGACCTATTGATTTACGGTATGGAACAAAGTGCTGTACGGAACTAAATGCTGTACGGAACTAAGTGCTATTATGGGAGTCACCTCTAGAGCCCGTACGAGTCACCTCTTGGGTCCATACATACATGAATTGGGCCCGAGGTTGTTTTAATATATGATTGGACCCGAGGCCATTCTGTTATTATTAGGCTCGAGGCCGTTCCGTTATTATTGGGCCTGAGGCCGTTCTATGGACACGAGGTCGTTCTGTAAATGTGATTTAAGAAAAGTACGAATTTATATTATTATGCTTACTATGATGTTGGGCTCATTCATTTAAATATCTTTATTGTATTACTACTCATTGAGTTTCGTTCACTCCGTGTTTTACATGTATATAGGTGATCAATCTGAAGACCAACCTTAGGTCAGCCTCAGGAGTTCTTTTGTGGATCTGTTATGTCAAGCCACCCAAGATACGCCTCTATGTCGAGGCTCTAATTTTGTATTGTTAGAGTTTTGTATTTTTATTGAGTCTTATGTATATTTGTGTGAGATACATAAGATCTGTATATGCATATAAATTCTAGTGTGTCTGCATGTTTTTAATTATTCCAATTATCATATATGCACAAGCTCAATGGGCATTATCATTATTTTAGTATTTGCTTCCGCTTAAAGCCTTATATGTTAATAAATATTTGTGAAATTTTGTTTTGACGCCTCAGAGAGTACAGGCCGGTCATGAACCAAACTTTTAGGACAGGCTTGAGTCGTGACAGTACCAGCCCTTTCACTTGCAAGGCTTATGATTGTTCCATCATCTTCTGCCCCCTTGATCTCAACAACCACCAATGGGTACTTGTTTTTTGCCTGCTACAATTATTTTCATCTTTATCTCCTAAGCCAATTGTACAATCAATAACTATCGAAGCTTAATTTGATAGGCAAAAATGTCTTTTCAAAATTTAAACTTAAACCATACAACCAAACATCTATGAATTTGGCTGTGGGATTTAATTTATTCAAAATAGCAAGGAAAACAAGAAATTTAGTTGTGGGGAGTAGTTGATTCAAAGAAAAAGAAAAATTAAAGCTTGCTTGTATGGCTACATTGTTTAAATTTTAAAATGACATTTTTTACCATCAAATTAGGTTTCAACCATTACTAATTTGTACAATCATCAAAATAAAATTTTAAGGACTAAATAGATAAAATTAATAATTAAGGGAAGCAATAGAAAAAATGGTAATAGTTTAAGAAATAGAAGTGAATTACCTATTTTTCTTAATACATAAAAATTTAACTTTCTTGTTCATGCAGGACGAATAGACCAAATATACAATACCAGCTCCACCAATATACCCAGAACAACAAAGTCCACCAATATACCAAGAACAACAACAGGGTCATGGAGAGATTGCAGACATGGTTTCTTCCTCAAAAGTTCTTTTACCCATTTCATCAATATCAATAATCCTTATAGTCCTTTTCTTGAATTTGTTCTTCTAAAATACTATTCTCTGAGAAATGCGAGGAGAAAAGAGAAGTTCAGATTTTCACCATTATTCACTTTCATTGTAATTTACATAGTTAGCCACCACACCATTCAATTTAACAGTGTAATTTGTTTCTCAAGTCCAGCCTTTAACCTGATTTGCAATTCATGTATAATTTCACAACCCTCCAGAAAAAAAGGGCATGCTGACCAAGTTCTTGTTGCTCTTTTTCAAATTCGACAAATGTCAAAATTAAAAATTAAAAAAATACAAATTATGGAATATAAATTGTTGTTACCATACTTCTTCCTTCACCAATGAGAATTGATGTCGGCCCACACACCATAATTCATCACATTCAGTAGCATCTCTCATTTCTTAGTCTTGCTTTTCTTTGGAGCTTGGGTTTTCTTTCTTACTTTCTTGGGTGGCTTTCCTCCTGCAGCTTTACCACCCCTTTTTCGCAAGACCCCCTGCATCCATGATCTCATAAATTAGCATTTCTTTATTACGACATGTTGCACAATCAATATATGATCTTGTCATTCAATGAGATACATAATGAACTGAGAAAGGTTAAGAAGCATACTGATGTCTTTTCAGCTTTTGTTTTAGTTTTTGTGTTGGATTGCTCTCCATCGCCCTCATTTTGATCAGTCTGATTAGTGACGGTTTTAGGCATCTTGTCAGCGTCGTCATCAGAATCAAATGAGAATCCATCCAGTGTTCCTGACATATGATTTAATACAAGGAAGCACAAAAATTACGTAGTAAACAACATCAGATCCTGAGCCATATATAATATCCTGAAAGAAAACCTCAAATAGAACTTCTAACCTTCAACCATGGTTTCAGCCTCGTAAACATTAGATTGAGGTTTCAGCTGGATAAAGTCATTCATGATAGCCTCTATCTAATCAGGAAAACTATAATTTCAAATCTAAGGGCATTGGCAGCAAACCAGAGCAAAAGAGTTGAAAGAAAAAGATCTAAAAAGGGAAAATATTGGTAAAAGGAAAAAAAACATTTTTGGTTGAAAGGAAAAAATTATCAAAAGGTGAAAAATGAAGAGGAAACAAACAATTGATGAACAAACCTTTGCTTCCGACTGACCAAAGCTAACCTGAGCGAGAAGAAATATGTGTTACATCACAGCAATCAAAACATTGAAGACAATAAATTCGATTGAGTAGAGAATGATTACATACAACACAGAAAGACCTGGAAGGAACTATGGCTGTTTTGTATATAGTTCCTGAAACAGAAACCAAATTTAAATTTAGGAGGACCCACTTTCTATAGAAGCATGGATAAATTTAAATTTAGAACCCACTTTCTATAGAAGCATGCATAACAAGTGATCCATCAAAACTTAATGTAAAAGGAATTAAACATGCCTTTCAAATCTAAGAACATTTCTTGATTTCCGGATGGGTTATCTGATATAACTACTCGACCAACAGCACCCACATCACCACTCAAATCTATTGATTCACCTTCACACTCAACAAGTGCCTGCACAAAATACAATACTTAATAACAGGCATATCCCAAACAGGTCCCAGTCAGACTTCATCGTACAAGGATAAGCACATTAAATATGACACAGGCGCCTTAGAGGACCCAATCATAATATTACACAACTACTTCGGCATACACGGAAGTTCTAATAAACGTATTATGAATTTATGATCATGGACTAACTAAATTGTGAAAATTAATAAAGGGAAACACGGGTCGCTAAATCACTTCTTCCCAGAAGATACTTCTTGTCTCTCACCTTGAGACCCATGTTGGTGAGTTCTATTTGCAACAATCAACAACTAGAACACCAGCAACAAAGGATAAGATGTAGCAGAGAATATTGGTAGATTTGAATAGGGTTATTACACATTCTAAGACAGCAACTCAGATTCTTGAATGAAATTTTAAAGAGAGGCAAAAACAAAGAAACCATTATGAAAAAATCAAAAAAAAGGTGAGCATACCTTTGAACGGCTAGCTTTCTCCGAGAGCACCAAAGGCAACCTTGAGGAGGAGAACTGTAATTTATATAACTCCAAGGTGATTTGGTGAATAAAAGATATAAACAATCTTTTGAATGGCTAATAAAACTTCTTACATGAGGTTCAGTATGTTTCTCAGCAACCTCTTCTTCTGCAACCTCCACATCACCGTTGTTTTCTATATCATCAGAAATACTAAAAACTCAGTACCAAATGTAGACCAATAAAAGACTCGAATTAATAGGTAATACATTTAGAGAGTCATTGAAATTCACAGGTAAATTACCTTATTATAATCTGTCAGAATTCATGAATTCATGAAAGAGGTTACAACTCATTTATTTGAAACCTTTACACTATCAGTTCAGAATCCTAAGAGATGTCATTTCAACCTCCAGTGTCATACCTTTTTTGTTAATGTCAGTATTTACTTTTTTCTTCTTTGCTGATACTGGATCTTTGTTTTTCAGCCCTCTTTTTGGAGATTTCTCTTTAGAACCTTCCCTAATCGGGCTACTATGAGGAGACTCTGAATCTGATGACAAGGTCAAAACTGAATTATTTGGCACCTGTTCAAAAAACCACATTTTCAAGATTAGCATCTGGACAGAAAAAGTGAGAAATCTGCAAATTTAAGATTCTCTAGAGTATATTAGCAATACTATATTCACACACACAGTCATCTTGAATGTCAAGTTCAAGATATTTTAAAACATTTCAGGAAGCCAAAATCCAGTAAACTCTGAAAATTTGTCTCAAAAGAAAACTAGAACAATTATATGGTAGATCATAAATGTTACACAAGGGTGGCCAAATAGAAACACAACCAAAAAGAAACACACGTGAAGAACTACAAATTGATGCAACTGATTGTGCTTTGTTCAAAAGAAGTTGCCTGAATCAAATAACAATACAAATCCAGTTTGTCTTAATGGTTTGCCAAAGATGATTACACAATTCATAAGATTAGGAGAAGAACTATAAAGATTGGTTGAGGGAAGAAAATCAATAACATAAATCCCCAGTGATTTTGGCCTAGAAATTCTGCATGACCCTGCAAAGAATTGGATTGTTTCACCACAAGCATGTGCTTTTTAGAGTAGCTGAAGAACCCTCAAAATCTTATTAAACAATACTACATACCTACCCATGAAAATTACCCAAAACAGTACAACTATGGAATATAAGCATTTTGGGTGCGCTCAATTCTACACCATACACATCACGTCTAGGTAATGTTTGGGCAAAAAATCATGGTAAATAGTATTTTCCAATCTAATTGCCCGTCTCTTTAAAGTTAATGATTACCTTCGTCATAAAACAAATGACCGCATCGCAGTACCCAATATCATGACTAAAATTGACCTATATGGGCTTATTTCAAACCTCTACCAGAATTCATTTTAAATCACTTCGCCTTCATCTCAAAAAGAAAAAATGAAAACTTTAGAGCAGTCCCTATATTAAACCCAAAATATTTCTTGCCTCTGAGAACCAATAACTTTCTTTTACAATCTCCAACCAGATTTTCTCTAGCTGTTTATTATATTCAGAGGCTTGCCTTTACATCACCTTCATATTAAATTTTGAAAGCTTACTTGCTTACTAAGTAGAACCAATCACTTTTGCATCAGCTCTTAGCAACACTACTTCCCGTTCCCCAAACTTCTACACGGGATATTAAAGAACAATTTGGATGCATTTGACCAATTTCTGAAGCACCACAAGAGAAAATTAGTATGAAAGTTTTCTTATGTAAATGACCACACATCCCGCTGATGTTCAATTTGTAAATTTCTAGTTTAGACCACCCAAGGATATAGTAAAACGAAATGATAAATCTAATTCGAGCAGGATTTAGGTGTTTTATGCCCACTGCAAGGAACATAAACACAGCTTGTCGAAGCTACCTAGAAAAATAGAAAGCACTTGCAAGAAACATAAATGGGATATTGATCATGTAAGAGGCAAATAAGTAATTTTGGATAATAATAATATGATCATCACCATAAGAAGGTTACTTTTAAATTATGGACTCGTCCCATGTGCCACAAAGAGCAACTGTGAGGAGACTTGAAATTTCTATACGAGTGGTGTTACTCACTGAAACTAAGAATAAGTATGGAATTTTGGTGCAAAGCTACTTACATTGGGTTCAATGTGCTTCTCAGACTTTTCTTGCTTAGTAGCTTTCTCATCACTGCCATTCTCTATATCATTACCTGAAACAAAATATTTTAGAACTTGAAGATAATGCATTTCAAAAACGAGAATGAGATGAAAAATTACAAAGACATATCTTCGTTAAAAGTCTAGGCAGGAAAGGCATGCAATCGACATATCCCAATTAGCGGTCTATAACTTGTTAACTTAAAGCAATTTGCAATTTAATGCTAGCAACATCACTAACATAAGAAATGCCCACCTGGTTTGCTACGATTATTTGTCTTCTTCTTTTTCACTGATGTATGCTCTACTTTTGGCCGTTTTTTAGTTGGAGGCTTAGCTTTCAAAGTCTTTGTGGATGCAGACTCATCACCACGACCACAAGGACGTGTATCTTGATCTTCATCTTTCTCCGCAAACTGCGATGTTTCCTTAGAAGATGATGGTTTCTTCTCACTTGTTCCATCCTCCCTCAAAGGACTGTCATTTGGGGAAGACTCAGAACCCGAAGATAGTGTCAGAATTGATTGAGTTGGCGCCTACTCAACAAAGTAAATTTACACAATTAGCATGCCAAGAAAGAGGGAATTTATGTTGTTTAGTATCCAACATTATAATCCTTTTCACTGTAAGTGATTTTGAAGATCAAAATTTCAACACAAGATTGTGCTGAATATCAATCCACGCATAATTACAAGCATGTATATACACATGTGTGTCTGTGAGTGTTATTAACATCCTGAAAGGCCATGTTTTTTTGGCGGACTGGATTAAGTTGGATTAGCATTTTCATGACTAAAATAGTCTTAGGACTACAAATCCCTTTGAATTATGTATCCTATCGTATGTTTGGAATTATGTATCCTATCGTATGTTTGGATTGAGTAAGGATTATACGAAGAGACTAATAGTTTAGACTTTGGTTTAGCCGTCCAATTTATATCCCACCCCTTCTATAGGATTGAATAGTCCATCATATATGGATATCATATCCGGATAGATTGTTAATCTGTCCTTCAATTGTTTAACCAAATATCGGATTAATAATTTTAGGTCATGTTTGATTCACAAGATTAATAGTGAAGTATTAATAATCCTATTAAATTAGTGTGGTATTCACTATCCAATTGGATTAATATTCATTGGATTAATAATCCTACCCCTACCCCATTACTAATAATCCTACAAATTTGTTGGATTAATTATCTATTGGATTAATAATCCTAAACCAAAATGTTAAAACAAACATAGAATAATTGGGCCCACGGATTAATAATCTCAATCCCATGCTCTAATCCACCCAATCAAACATGCCCTTAGTGGATTATTAGTCCAATTCCAAGCTCATGTCCATCCAAACAAACATGACCAAAGGGTATGCAAACAAAAACATATAGCAGAGGACTGTAGCTCAAAGGGTTACATTGCAAAAATTTATAGTGAAATGAGTACAATGAATAGTAAGCAGTAGTATGAACAATGAATCTTCGAGTAGTATATAATATATGAGAAGTCTCTCTCCAAATATATTACTTGCGTTGCATGAGGTACGTAGGTATATAATAGGAAAGCTAAAATGAGATGAGAAGAAAATGGAAAACAACACAGAGAAGAGAAGAAAAAGGGTACCTGGAAGGTACGCAACCAATCAGGAGATTCCTCCCGAGAGCTACTCATTGTTGTGGGTTTTTTTAGTGAGGAAATTAAACCCTCCGGAAGGGTCGGTCTGATAAAACCAACCCTAACACTCACTCTGCGAAAAAACAATTGTATTGTATTGTATTGTAGGTGATGCTAATGGGCAGTAAGGTTAACGGTATAAAACCCTAACACTCACTCACTCTGCGTCACTGCTGCTGGAGGAGAGGGAAGCAAAATGGGAATCGAATTGCAGCACTGAATAAGTTAAGTTGGCGTTTGTTTAAAGTCTGCGTTTGCCCAATTTGAGTATGCATTGTCGAGGCTTTTTCCATATTAACCCTATTTTGTATGTTAATTTTTAAATTGGGGTTTAGTTTGGACAGAATTTTTAAATTAGGCTAAAATATTATTACAAATCGCGTTTTCATTATTTAAAGCTTAAAATGCGATGAATAGTGAAAGTATTATTGCAAATCACGCTTTTAATTAAGAAAGCGTGGTTAAAAATTACGCTTTTAACATAATTTTTTTTTTTGAAGAAAGCGTGGTTCCAAACCACACTTTCACTGTACATCTCGTTCAATTTCGTTTTCTAAAGAAAAAGGGGGATTTGGTCATAACCCCCTCATTATCTAATTTCTCTTTCAAAATGACAAGAATTATATAAGTACTTTCAAAACCCCCTGATATTTTAAAACTTGTTTCTTTTACTATATTACTCTCATATCTATCAGCTCTCCTATTAAGACATTTTCACTATGTATTTCAGAGTAAAATTTTACTCTGTATGAAAGTAAAATTTTACTCTGAATGAGAGTAAAATTTTACACTCTGAAACTAAGAGTAAAATTTTACTCTGTATAAAAGTAAAATTTTACTCTGAAAAATAAGTAAACTATAAGACTCTGAAGCTAAAAGTAAAATTTTACTCTACATCATTCTCTCTACATTTTCACTATGTATTTCAGAGTAAAATTTTACTCTGTATGAAAGTAAAATTTTACACTCTAAAACTAAAAGTAAAATTTTACGCAGTATAAAAGTAAAATTTTACTCTGAAAAATAAGTAACCTGTAAGACTCTGAAACTAAAAGTAAAATTTTACTCTGTATAAAAGTAAAATTTTACTCTGGTTCTGTCAAATGAAAAAAACAGAGCAATAGAACCAGAGTAAAATTTTACTCTGGTTCTATCAAATGAAATTTGATGTTTACTCTGAAAAATCGATGGAACTTTGAGCTATGAGCTTTGAATCAGGCCTATAATCCTTGAATCAATCGATGTTTACTTTGAAAAACATTGAATCATGCCTATAATCCTTGAATCAGGCCTATAATCCTTGAACCAATCGATGTTTACTTTGAAAAACATTGAATCATGCCTATAATCCTTGAATCAGGCCTATAATCCTCGAATTCAAATCTCAAAACACACAAACACACACACATATATATATATATATATATATATATATTCGAATTCAAATCTCAAAACACACAAACACACAGACATATATATATATATATATATCTATATCTATATATCTCGGGAGATTAGAGATCGGAATCGTTCATGGTGCACAGATTTGAGTTGAAACCCTATATCGAAAGAGGGAAGAGAAGCTTGCAGAGGCTCTGGAGGATGATGAAGTCATGGAGAGGTAACGGTCGAGGACGGAGTCGACGGAGGGGTTGCCGAAGGCGAAGGTGCTGCCGGCGTTGGAGAAGGTGATGACGGTGGCTTCGGTGCTGCACAAGTTGCAGAGCTCGCCGCTCTTCTTGAAGAGGCCATCTGTGGAAAGGAAGAGAGTGGGGAAGAGAGTGGGTATAATAGTCATATAAAATATTTAAATAATAAATTTGTCCTTTATGTAAGACTTTATAATTATGAAGGGGTTTAAAAAGTATAATTTTTTTTTTAGTCCTTTTAACAATGAAAGGAAGGTAAAGGGGGTTTATAGCCAAATTTCCCAAAGAAAAACCACGCTTTCACTGTGCATATAATTTTTTTTTTCTAAAGAAAACGTGATTGTGAATCACGCTTTCACGTTCAGCTAAAGAAGCGTGAATTGAAACCACGATTTCACTATTCATTTATTTATTTATTTTTATTTTTTTTAACATTTTTGGTTTTTTTCCTGTTCTCATTATTTTGCTGATAATGTAATTCATAAAAAAATTTGGCTTTACTAAAGCCGTTCTCATGTTAAATTTTTTTTTTTTTTTGGTTTAGAAGGTGTAATTCAGAAATTTTACATAATATGAGAAAAACCTCTTCTTTTCATATATTAATTTGTGTTACATAATATGAGAAAAGCCACTTCTTTATATATTAATTTTACATAACATTTTTAACTAATTATCAAGCATTTGGGAATTAAGTCAATTTATATAGGGAGCTTTTTTGATAAATCCATTTTCTAAGAGCTTTATTCCATTCAACCCATATTCTTTTTGACTATTCCATTAGGTCCAATTTGAGATAAGAAGACCAAAATACCCTTTTCTTATATTGCATCTACTTATGTTCTATTTAGTTCACATTATTTTCTTATATTTCAATAAGTCCTATGGGTGACATAATTACCAAAATACCCCGAATATAAATATTCACACCGTCAATGTGAATGTTCATATCGTCAATGTGTAGGGCCCCGACCCATGTCGATCCTCGTGGGTGCCCAGAAAAATTCGAGTCGGTCTGGGCCGGCCCACAGGCCAAAAAAATAGGCCCGGCCGGGCTCGTTGATAATGTGAATATTCACATTGACAAGTTAACATTCACATTGATAGAAGTGTAAAATTGGCCCGCGGCCCGTGGGCGGCCCAAAGCCAGCCCGCCGCTCGTGGGCTGCCCGGGGCGGGCCCGGCCCGACCCGTTGACAATGTGAATATTCACATTGACATGTTAACATTCACATTGATAGGAGTGTAAAATTAGACTGCGGCCCGTGGGCGGCCTGAACCCCGCCTGCGGCCCGGGGTGGGCCCCGCTCGTTTAGGCCTGTTTGGGCCAGTAGTGGTTCCAATGAGGGAACCGACAGAGAATTCTGTCACAGTAACAGTAAGCAGTAGGTGCCAAGGATGCCACAATACAGTTCAGAATATAGGACATACATTCATTTAGTTAATAGTAATCAGTTCAGAAAACAGTACAGCCGTTGACAATGTGAATATTCACATTGACATATTAACATTCACATTGATAAGAGTGTAAAATTGACTCGCGCTCCATGGGTGGCCCGAAGCCTGTGGGCGGCCCGGAGTGAGCCCGGCCCGGCCAGTTGACAATGTGAATATTCACATTGACATATTAACATTCACATTGATAAGAGTGTAAAATTGGCCCGTGGCCCGTGGGCGGCCAGAACCCCGCCCGCTGCCCAGGGCGGGCCCGGCCCAGCCCGTTGACAATGTGAATATTCACATTGACATATTAACATTAACATTGATAACAGTGTAAAATTGGCCTTGACCCATGGGCAGCCCGAAGCCCGACCCGTTGACAACGTGAATATTCACATTGACATGTTAACATTCACATTGATAAGAGTGTAACATTAACCCGTGCCCCGTGGCTGCCCGAAACCAGCCCACGGCCCGAGGTGGGCTCGGCCCGGCTTGTTGACAATGTGAATATTCACATTGACATGTTAACATTCACATTGATAAGAGTGTAAAATTGACTCGCGTCCCATGGGCGGCCCGGGGTGGCCCGGGTTTGGGTCCGGGCCTACAGCGGGCCGCAAGTGAGCTTCGGGCAGCAGATAAATTTTACACTCCTATCAATGTTAATGTTAACATGTCAATGTGAATATTCACATTGTTACGGGTCGGGCCAAGCCCGCCTCGGGCTGCTGTCTGGCTTCGGGCCGACCACGGGTTGCGGGCCAATTTTACACTCTTATCAATGTGAATGTTAACATGTCAATGTGAATATTCACATTGCCAACGGGCCGGGCCCGCCCCGGCCCGAGGTCGGGCTTCGGGCTGTCCACGGGTCACGGGCTAATTTTACACTCTTATCAATGTGAATGTTAACATGTCAATGTGAATATTCACATTGTCAACAGGTTGAGCCGGGCCCGCCCCGGGCCGCCCATGGGCCGTTGGCGGGTTTCGGGTAGCCATGGGGCGCGGGCTAATTTTACACTCCTATCAATGTGAATGTTAACATGTCAATGTGAATATTCACATTGTCACGGGTCGGGCCAAGCCCGTCTCGGGCTTCGGTCGGGTTTCGGGCCGCCCACGGGCTGCGGGCCAATTTTACACTCTTATCAATGTGAATGTTAACATGTCAATGTGAATATTCACATTGTTAACGGGTCAGCCCGGGCTGGGCTTTTGGCCGCCCATGGGCCGCAGGCCAATTTTATACTTTTATCAATGTAAATGTTAACATGTCAATGTGAATATTCACATTGTCAACGGGCCGGACCGGGCCCGCCCCGGGTCGCCCATGGGCCGCGGGTGGGTTTCATGCCGCCACGGGAAGGGGGGCCAATTTTACACTCCTATTAATGTGAATGTTAACATGTCAATGTGAATATTCACAATTTCAACGGGTCGGGCTGGGTCGAGCCCGCCCTGGGCTGCAGACCAATTTTATATTCTTATCAATGTGAATGTTAACATATCAATGTGAATATTCACATTGTCAACCGGCCGGGCTGAGCCCGCCCCAGGCCGTCCACGGGCCGTGGGCGGATTTCGGGCAGCCACGAGGCGCGGGCTAATTTTACACTCCTATCAATGTGAATGTTAGCATGTCAATGTGAATATTCACATTGTCAACGGACCAGGCCGAGCCGGGCCCTCCCCGTGCCGTAGGCAGGCTTTTGGCCGCCCATGGGCCGCGGGCCAATTTTATACTCTTATCAATGTGAAAGTTAACATGTCAATGTGAATATTCACATTGTCAATGGGCCGGACCGGGCCCGTCCCGGGCCGCCCGTGGGCCGCTAGCGGGTTTCGCGCCGCCACGGAATGCGGGCCAATTTTACACTCCTATTAATGTGAATATTAACATGTCAATGTGAATATTCACGTTGTCAACGGGCCGGGCCCGCCCCGGCTCCCGGGCGGGTTTCGGGCCGCCCACGGGCCAATTTTACATTCCTACTAATGTGAATTTTAAAATATGAATGTTCACATCATTAAATTACTAATCGTTCAAAAAATATTTATAAGGGTATCAAAATTGAATATAAGGACATAAGTGTCCAAGAAAATAGTGTAAATCAAGAAAATCGACTTTATGGAATAAAACTATACATATATGGGACTAAATGGGTTAA